TATATATATATATATATATATATATATATATATATATATATATATATATATATATATATATATATATAGCTGTATGTAAAATTGTTTTCTCTATAATTGGCAGGTTTACGTCTAGGTGTCACCCCTCCCCCATAACCGAATCTTTGATTTGCACTTAATAAGACTTTTTAACTCTAATTAATCATTAATTAAACTGACAAAAAGCATTTTGCTACTATTCCTTTTTTCAACTTATTGTCTTGGTGTCACCCTCCTAAATGGTGCCACCTGGTGCGGTCTCGCGACGCCTCTGGGTATTATTATCGTTTTCTATAGTGTGAATCATTTTAACTTTTTGCAGATGCAAAATCACATAAAACACAGCTACGATGTAAACGCTGTGATTACATTTTGTTAAATCATTTTGTTGTTTTAATAATGTATTTAAAATGTACATCTATTTAAACAAATGTTGATTGTTATCACTTCCCATTTCGCTTTAATAACACGGTAAGGGAAATAACTTATCACAATTTCCTAAGCCAGAAAAAAAAAACAAAAAAAAAAAAAAAAAACACAGCACAACAGTAAAAAAGCAAAAATAACTAAATGTGCTACTCTTTCTACTCAGAAAATATTTTTAAAGATTGTTAGAATAAATATATAAATAATAAGCAAAATATAAAATAGTATATATAATTGCTCTATAACCTACAATTATTAACGGTACTAATATGTTTTAAAAACTTAGTACTTGAAAAAATCTTCAATCCCAACAACTGTTCTGCTCTTGATAAGATTGTACAATTTAATAAATTGAATATAACTAATTATTCCATTCGAAGTAACAAACCCGCATGAGATGTGGCAGGTGAAGTGGAGTTCACCTGTTCATTGAAATAACACATTATTAAATGATGTGGCATAATCCAGATTAAGATGTTTTCATACATTATTTAATCGAAATCAATCCATCTGAAATTTGAAAATGAATTAAATCTGTGAACCCAGTGTGTTCAGTGGCGTCGTTATGTCGGGTGTTACCCGGTGCGGCACTCCGTGTTGTCATCCCTCCCCCCAGGAAACAAATTATAGGCTGTATATGTGTGTGTCGGCCTATAATTTTAATATATGCCACATACGCGTGCATGTATGTGTATAAGGATTAATCATTGCAGACTTAATATTAACGATATTTATCTATAATATGTTAATTATACAGTTGGATGTAGCATTGTTTTCTTTATAATTAGCACGTTTACGTCATGGTGTCACCCCCCACCCTCATATAATAATTCTAGATTTGTACTCAAAAGACTATTAAATTTAAATTAATCATTAATAGAACTGGCAAAAGGCATTTTTTTCTGCACATTTTGCTTTTTTTTTTGCCCTGGTGTCATCCCCCCTAAATGGTGTCACCCGGTCCGGTCCGCACCCCTCGACCCGCCTCTGCCTGTTTCTATTACCTCGGTATAACATTGAGATGGCGTGTGTGGTCAACTATATTCACAGCCGCCTATACTCACTAACTTGATACTTAGTTGAGTTGGGTGGATTCGGGTTAGTGCGCTCTCCGACCACACCGCCACAAAACGGTTTATCAAAGGGTATATGTGGTTTGTTCTACATTTATATAAAACACTTGTAGTTGTATTGTATAGTACCTCGCCAGGGCAACATGTTGTTGACCATTGGTGTAAGCAAGAGAGGGGGGGGGGGGGGTTATAGCCCCCTCATGGACCCCTACCCCTACGTATATATATCCTAATAATATAGATTATAATATATATATTATATATATATATATATATATATATATATATATATATATATATATATATATATATATATATATATATATATATATATATATATATATACATATGTATACATCAGTGGCGGAACTAGAAAAAAAGGGCCACCCCGCAAAGAATTTTTTTGGGCCCCATATATATATATATATATATATATATATATATATATATATATATATATATATATATATATATATATATATATATATATATATATATATATATATAAACAAAATACGATAATACCAACTTAAAGTACTCATTTTGGGATGTTCGAGTTTTTAAAATAATTCTTAGTTTAGAAAAAATATTAAAACTAGTTACAACAACAACTCATTTGTATGAGTGCTTTAAGTCTGTTATGAAAATCTCTGTTTAAATTAGATTTATGTTTTCTATAATGATATTGTAATCAGGTCGAAAGAATATGAAGCATGAAAGCTTTGTATTTGCAATGGTTTCTTGCGTTATGTTTATGTTTTTTTTTATTTTTTTTAATTATATTATTAGTTTTAAATACATTTCATTTTTATGCTTTGCCATTCTTTGCTTTTTTTTTAAATAATCACTAAGAGAAGTAATTTGCTCTTTAATTTTTTTAGTGCAAATCTATTAAAAGGTGCTTAAGAGCACACATATTTGACTATTTAAAAAAGGGAGATAAGTCATGGAAGTGGTTAGAACGTTTACCTATCTTTCACGCGATGGATTTATTTTCAAAAATTTTTTGCCGACAACAGAGTGTGTTTGATTGTAGGAGAAAGAGGACTCGGGATGGTGTCTATAGAATAAAGATAATGAAACCGCTGCTACAGTCTTCTTTTTACAAAACACAATCATAAAGTCAAAAATTAAAGAAAATTATTTATTTAGCTTTTAAAAAATTGATTATGGTCGGCTGTGGGCCCCTAAACGGCCCGGCCCCCCCCCCCCCCGCATTGCGGGGTCTGGCGGCACTGTAGTTCCGCCCCTGGTATACATATATATATAGTATATGATTTTATATATAAGGGAAAATATTTGAACCCTTCCCATGACCACTTCCTGGCTACGCCACTGCAGTTGACGTTACAATGTTCTGACTCTCCCACTCCCCCTTTTTTTGTTTTTTATAAAAGCCTTGATTACCAAAATTAAACAACTGCTGTCTTGTAGTTTGATCTTGGTTGGACAAAAGCTATGGAAGCAAATCCAGAAAGAAAGCCAGGCTGAAATCGGAGTCAATGGCCTATATGGCGCATAACATGTTGACACGTAATACTTAATTACAATTAAGAACGAAGAAGAAGAAAAAAAAAGCATTGATTATCATCAAGTATTAAGTAAAGTAAGCCTGTATTTAAATCTGCCATAATGTACCTTCTTAAAAGAGCGTGCAAAAAGTAACAAGCACTCTAATTAGAGGTGGTCTATTCCTTAAGCAAATGAGCTCAATTACATCGCACTAATTAGTTACTCAGGAAAAAATCAATCGATTAAAACGTAAGACGCCAAGCAAGGAATAAAACTTCAACAGCGTACACCTCCTGTTTTAAATAAATTAGATAAGCGACCACTCCAATTAGCAGAGGTGAGTGACCCCCTCCACGTCTGGAAGATCATGCCAACTGGGTCAACGGCCTCGATTCTGGTCAGCAGTGAAGCCAGACAAACAAGCAACCTGGGGCCGTCTGCCCCGGGTAGGCCCACGTAGGCCTCGATTCCAGACACAGTCTGGCTCACTTGTGACCACAGTATCAGGTAATACGGGGTGGAGGGGGGGGGGTGGTTAAGACACTCCTGGTGTACGGAACTAACTCGTCTCAGAATGGCCACAGTGAATGTAAATATTGACTTCTCAAACAAGTCCAGTCTTTCATCATGTGATCGCTGGATGGTCAATTTGAGGTTCGGGAAAAAGGTGACCTTCACCTTCTACTCAAGAAAAAAAAGATTGGATGGAGTGAGCAATATTTAGTTTGTTACATTTTACAACCTGGTAGTTCATGGTGCAGATGAAGCAGAGTTCGCCTGTTTCTGTGACCTCAGCATATAAAGCGATAGTGTGCTCAGCATTATGCCCAGCCACTTTTACTTTCTCTAACGTGAGTCAGGTACCCATCAGAGCTGAATAGAGACTAGGATAAGCCACGGATTCAAGCTCAAAAAATTCTAGTTAAGTACATTACTTTTAAAGGTAGCAAATGTACGAAGAAATAGGTTTCAGCCACAAAAAAGCGGCGCACAATCCTTCATAATAACATTAATAATCATACCCTACACTGATAGGATTTAATTCCCTCTCAGAGGTTCTCAACATGTGTAAGAAGTAAATATGTCCTACCACTGGATAGAACCTCTCAGCTGTACAAGAACAAAAGTGGGTACTTCCACTGTATAGAAATAGAACCAGCTGTACAAGAACAAAAGTGGGTACTACCACTGTATAGAAATTGAACCAGCTGTATAGAATAAAAGTGGGTACTACCACTGGAAAGGACCATGCATCAGCTGTGGTTACCTCCACTGTGTAAAAACCACCTTAAGCTGTAAAAGAACTTGGTCATTCCCCCCCCCCTCCCTCCAGTTAGAACCACACGGTTAGAAAACATGATGAACCAGTTCTCAGCTCACACAATCTATATTAGCCAAGGCAAAGACTGGATGTCAATACATGTTTCAGTCAGTTTATTGCCTCACCTACATGAACACATTGTCATACCATATAACATTAACTTAAGTGAAAAAACAACTATTTACAATAACAGTAAAGTTATACATGGTTTAAGATAGAGAAATGCATCGAAATGGTGATGAGAAATGATAAAAATGGTCATAGAAACATTGAAAATGTATAGCATATTTATGAATAAGTCACTATAACAACCATACTAGGTCTGTTGTCTTTTACATTCTAACATTTCTTTTAAAAATGTGTGTGTGTGTGTGGGGGGGGGGGGGGGGGGGGGGAATTTCAGAATAGACTATGGGTACTCTATTAAACACCCCAGGCAACAATTTTCATTTGAGTCCAAACTAAGGTTATTTATTATTTTTATTTTAAGGGGTTAATTTATTTATTAAAAAAATAATTAGGGAATTATTTCAAATTGAAAGCTGTCACTCTAAAACAATTGAATTTTTTTAGGGTGGGATTTTCAAATGGACAGGTATTCTTGGAGTCAGAAACTAAAATTTTGTTCTAAAACAATTTTTTCTTCTCATTCAGGGAGTGAATTTCAGATTGACAGGTGTGACCCTGTCAAATGCCCTCGGCATGCCAGGGTTAGCCAGATCAGTTTGTGCTATACTGTCCATACTGTCGTCTATGTTCATGTTCAGTGGTCCAGCCACTTCCTGTCCTCTCTTGGTCTGTATTGTTCTCAACAGACCCTTAGCTTCTTCCCTGGTCTGTGAAGTGAAAAAAAAAAACATTTTTAGAACTACCCTAATAGTAGCTACGAACAGTGAATCTTTACTATAAAAAAATTAGCTATCAATCACAATAAAGTAAATATAGTCTGCTATTAAAGAAAAATAATTTTTTTAATACTACAAATTTTCATCAGATTAAATTCTATTTGCAAGGGGGATAATCACTAATAGTAACTGGTTAACTCATTTAAGTTATATAAATTTTCATCAGACTAAATTCTATTTGCAAGGGGGATAATCACTAATAGTAAATGTTTAAGTTAATCTAAAAATAAATTAATTAAATCCACTATTAACAAATAACTTGTGTAATGGGAGAAATAAATCAAGCTAACATTAACAGAAAACTGATATGTTAATAAGATGAAGCACATTTGAGAATCAGGCCTCACAAAACAACTAGCTAGACAACAGGAAATAAGAATAGTAACATAATCAGCTAGCAAGCAAGAAACAAGATCAGTAACATAACCAGCTAGCAAGCAAGAAACAAGATCAGTAACATAACCAGCTAGCAAGCAAGAAACAAGATCAGTAACATAACCAGCTAGCAAGCAAGAAACAAGATCAGTAACATAACCAGCTAGCAAGCAAGAAACAAGATCAGTAACATAACCAGCTAGCAAGCAAGAAACATGAACAGTCACCTCAGTGAACTCTGTACATTTCTGAGCTGCAGCATAAGCATCATCCCAGTTTTTGTGGTCTATGTGGTAGTTGGCTAAGTAAAGGTAGGCCCTGCTCAGATCTTCATGGTTGTGAATCTATATTTGAAAACAATTAAAATAAGTGATACTTTATTATCAACTGTAGTATAACAAATAATTTTAAGACTCATTAATATTTGAAAAAGTAATGTGACCAAAAAAAATAATTAATGGTTCATTAACCCACTAACTCCTGATGTTAAGGATGATTTTTGTCAAAAAAAAAAAAAGAAAAAAAAATGCTGGATTATACTACTGTCTCTACTCTTGTAAACCAATTTATTTCAATGAAAACTGTGGATTTACAAGATGCAAGAACTATAGTCCTTGTGATATTTTTAGGTATCATAATTGTTTTGAGTTGTTTTATTGTGATTTTAATTGTAACTAATTTCAAGGTTTCATTCTTTTGCCATAGTGGCATCAATTTTGGGGTACATTAGCGGGTAGCTCTGAACTTATGCATAAGTTAGAGAAGGAAATAATTCATGGTAATGATAATGATTTTTAACAGTGTATAAACAGATGCATAGACGTGTGATTGAGTCCAAAAGATGGAAAATACAAGCGCTATCTTTTGCTTTAGCCATTTTGATGAGATGGAAATGTTGTAAATTAATTTTTCTGTGTCAAACTACATGCAATAAACACTTCAACTGTATTTTATAAAATTTATTGCCTATTATACTATTGTTTGAAAAACATTTGTCTGCCATTGAAAAAAAAATATGGATCTATTGAAATTTAAAAAAAAAATTGTAAACTACTATTTTTAAAAGTTGTGCCCCTTTCCTTAAGAATGAGGGAGTAATGGATGAAACCTAGGTATTATATGGTTACAGATAATTAGACTTAAAGCATTTGTATAAATCTATATTGTCAATAATAATAATCCAACTACTTTAGCTTTAGTATGATATCATTACAAGCATCCTCTCTGCTTGTAATAGTAAACCAAAAGTTTTAACATATCATTACCAGCATCCTATCTGCTTGGCTTATGTACTCTGTAAACGCCTGACAAGCTTGCTCTTTCTCTCCAAGCATGGCATACAGACTGGAGAAAAACAATGAGAATATAATATACATTTTTCCATTACTTACACATTAGTAGTGTGTAGTTAAAATGTGCCTATTTAATTAAAAGGAATGTGTATAACATTAAAATGTTACACTAGGGAATGTAGTATTTCATAATACACCAGTACATAGTTAGACTAGTGCTTTTCTTTTTTACTGCTATCACAATATTTACATTATCACAGGCACAACAACAATATTGGCAAGTAAATAAATTTTCATGGAATACTGAAATGCCTGAATTTGTTTTGATAAAAACAGTTTTTTGGCATACATAAAAAGTTAAAAAACAATAGCTGACACAATGAAATATAATGAACAAATTGTACTTTAGGCTCTACTTAGCACAAGGAACTAATAAAATTATATACTCAGCCTTACTTAGCAAGTTTGAAAAGTGCTATCTCCTCAGCATCACCTAGACAATGAGCCTTCCAGAAACATTTTTTTGCTTCCTGTAATCTGTCAACTTTTTGATAACATTCTCCTAAAGCTATCACCATTCTAGAGTCATTAGGCCTGTAAAATATTTCAGTGTGAGTGGTCAATTCAAACAAAAAAAAAACAAATTATATAAATTAATTAAATGCACAAACAGGGGTGTAACTAGTATTATTAATAGAGCAACATGATTTATTTTAAAAGACCTAATAATCAAGCTTGCAGTGGCTAAGTTGTGGAGTCACCTCGTAAACAAGACTGACTTTTGATGTATTTATTTTTAAAAAATTGTTGGAATGAAATGTTCTGATTAATAAAAGATAAAACAGCTGTGGTCTTCAAGAAAATGATTTTCACAATCCAAAAAAGCTCATTCAAGTAATTTATTGAGATCATGGACTGGGAACACCCTCCCTGGGTAAAGCTTTGTTTGCCCAGTTAAAAGCTTAAACCTCCGACTCCCACACTGTACGGTGCTAGGTATAGAATCTTCTGTTATAAAACGTTTAATAGTATTAGCCCAACTGTGGATATTTAGAATCGGAGCCTGTCCCAGTCAAAATGAGTAAATTTCTTTGCTCTGTTTATACAGAGAATATTCAACATAATGAGAACTTACTTCAATGTCTGAGCTTTCCTATAGTAATAAAGTGAATATGATGGCATCTTAAGTATCTCATATGTTTGTCCTAAACCATACCAGGCTCTATAGTCACGCTTGTCAACTTCTAATGAGAGAAAACGGTATTTTAATTAAATATCATTTCAATGAAAATAGAAGACAGCTAGAATATAGTGTACACATAGATGTAAAAGTAAACAAAAAGAGTGATGATTTATGGACGTACAGAGCCACACAAGTAGCCAATGGTGTCAGAATTCATATTTTTAAAGTAGCAAGTAGTAAAAAATATACAAATTACAAGTTTTGTTACCCTAAAAAAACTACAAAAATAACAAAAGTTCACCCATTGGTGATGTAAAAATGAAGCCACACAAGTAGCAAGTAGTCACCTAATGAAATAATTAAAGGAACAAAAGGTCACCTATAGATCTTCTATAAGCCTGAATAGCTGCTGATGTGTTCTTTAGCTCCATGTACTCATGACCCATCAAAGTCCAGGCTGAGATGTAGTTGGCATTTAGCTTCAAGGCTCTCTGGAAGTAGAGGATTGACTTTTCATGCTGGGACCTCAGAGAGTAGTAGTTTCCTGCATGGAAAAAAAACCCAAAGATATTTGTATGACATTCACAAGAAAAAAACCGACACAATTTTAGGTGATATTATTTGAAAGAGGTGTGTGATGTACATACGAAGAAACAACACAAGATCAGAACAAGAAATATAAACTGGAATAAATTTGATATAAACAAACACTAGTTAAAATTAATCTATATTATCTGAAAAAAGTATGATTTACATTAGAAAAAAAAGGCAGATTTTTATTAAATTAAATACTAAGCTAACAAACAAACAAAAAGAAAAGTTATTGTTACAGCAATTAGGCTGATGATGAATAAAGACAGGGTTTGTGCAGGGATGACCATTTGCTAATCATTTTACTTGATAAGCAGCAAGCTTTACTCAGAAATAGAATGTGTTTCTATATCTTGTTTAAGCATGCTTTAATTATTTTAACTGGAGAATAAAAGCTTTAATTAAAAAACAAAACCTACCTATAACACAGCAGGTTTCAACACAGTATTTGTTTACAGTGCAACATTTATGGGCAAGGTGAGCTAATTCACTCTTTTTTTCCTGGGGAAGATAAAATAAGTTCTAAAGTAAGTATTTACTAAAAGCAAAATATTTCAGCATTTGTAAAGAAAGGAATTAGTCTATCTTTCATAATGTTTTAAAAACCAATAGTATGAACAGTGTATTTTATAATGTGATTAGTAATTTACGAGATTAAAAAAAAATCACTAAGTAACTGTAAACTAAAAACTAAACTAAAACTATAACAACATGGTATGAATTATAATGCTGCAAAAAAATACTTTTTCTTAGGAAAAAATAACTGGAAACACTATATACTTGAGCTAAAAATAAACATTTTACAATTTCATAACATTTCATAATTTCATTTTATAAAACCTAAAGTTGAAAAATTAAGAAATAAAAAATTGTCAAATCAGAAACCAAACAGCCATACTAAAATAACACTAAACTTACCTTAACATACAGAAGATTTGAATAAATATCCATATTTTCTATCCTATAAGGGTCCATTAACTCTAAAGTTTTAAAAGTTTGGACAGCCAAATCCACATCTGTAAAAACAGGTTTTTAATGTGTATTAAAAATACTATTCCAGCTAAAAAACATATTTACAATACCAGAGATTTGAAAAAAAAAATCATGTCGTCACCTGTGTCAAAGTAATGATCACACAAACAAAACCCCACTCACCCCTTATGTCATGGTATGTAACAGCCACCTGGGCTACGATGTATGTGCTCTCAGAAAACCCCCGATCCATAAAGGTTCTGTAGATAGACAGCGCATCCTCATGCAGCTGTAGCTCCATGTACACTTTAGCCATGAATAGCGACCTGATCCAATGGTGAGGTAGTTGTAAGGATAACAGCTGCAACAGTTTAAAAACAAGTTATTGTCACATTATTTCAAACAGAGTATAAGAAAATAGCATCATAAAATTGGTGTTAACAATGTAAACAGTGGCTGATCCAATGGTGAGGTAGTTGTAAGGATAACAGCTGCAACAGTTTAAAAACATGTTATTGTTATTTCAAACAGAGTATAAGAAAATAGAATCATAAAATTGGTGTTAACAATGTAAACAGTGGCTGATCCAATGGTGAGATAGTTGTAAGGATAACAGCTGAAACAGTTTAAAAACAAGTTTTTGTCACATTATTTTAAACAGAGTATAAGAAAATAGCATCATAAAATTGATGTGAACAATGTAAACAGTAGCTGATACAATGGTGAGGCAGTTGTAAGGACAACAGCTGCAACAGTTTAAAAATATGTTATTGTCACATTATTTTAAACAGAGTAAAAGAAACTAGCATTATAAAATTGATGTTAACAATGTAAACAGTGGCTGATACAACGGTGAGGCGGTTGTAAGGATAACAGCTACAACAGTTAAAAAACAAGTCCTTATCACATTGTCAATACCCAGTACATATACGAAAACTCAATCATTAAAAGTTAGTAAATATAATAATTTACAAATTAATATTTCATGTTGCAGATTATTTAAGTAGATGACAAGGTAGAATAAACTCACTGTTTCTTTGTCTGCGATCTGGTGAGCAAGTTCCATCCAAGCTGCCCAGTTTAAAGGCTCTCTTGTGACAGACTCAACAAAAACATCTGTAGCCATAGCATGTAGATCCAGCTTTGATAAAACAACACCATACCTGTGGGCATGTACATACTTTATCACAAGGCATTAAAATATGATAATAACAATTGTTCAGCCTAATCCTGGCAAAAATATATTTAATTTATTAACAGATGCATGAATCTGATGGGTAGTGTTGAAGTCATATTTGGTACCTAACCCTAATTAGAGAGTAAAAGATGGTGTGCATAGGAGTGACCACATAAAGCCTTTTAATGCTGAGGCTAAATAGACAGATTCAATCTATTTCATCTGCTAATGGAACTTCTGATGTGAGAAGGGATATATTTATTTTGAAATAAAATTTAAGAAGTAAACCTTTAATAACTTTTTCTAAATAATCATTTGTTAAAAGATAACAACCAATGTAAACTTACAGATATAAACCAAACCCATCTAGCTCTTTTCTGTTACGCTTGTCTGACAACTCTGACTGTAGAATCTTTAATATTTCATTGTCTATGTTTTCAGCTTGAGCTAAAAGGTGTGGAAGATATTTCTTTTAAGAAAGAGTAAATAACATTGTTTTTAATAGCCAAGTTAACTCTAAGTTTAACAAATAAACACACCTCTAAAGCAAAACTTCAATTCTTTTTTAACATACCAAAATTATTCCTGACATAAAGCTCTATAATAATGAGCAATCTTTAAAAAAAACTTGTAAACATCATACAATATGTCAAATCGTGTCTTGAGTCTCTGGGAAATTCCCCAGTACATGCAGTAATTCTATTTTCAAAGTGACTAGGTCTTAAAAGTCTCACATACCAACAGTTTTAATAACATGTTAACAACATCACAAGCAGTTTGCAACAAAGAGAACCAAATATAAACTACCAACATTTTACTAAAGATTACCATTTGAATCAGGCATGTTATCAGCTTTACGTTTCTGGTCTGACATGTAGAGAGAGTAGAGACGCAGGAAATAAGGCTTGGCGCTTTGACATTCTCTGAGTACATGCACAGCCCTGTCGTATTCCTTCACATCAAAATAGCTCTTTGCAAGTACATAGTTGTCATAATCATTCCAGAACTCCTACATTTCAAGGTAAATAAAAAAAAGTGCAACATAAGTAAAATAAAATATGTGAGAATAAAAACTGAGGCAAAGCTATATTCAATATAATCTTCTAAGATGTGTCAAGTAATAAATAAAAATATTTACAATTAAAAATAGTATGTATACATACAATTGGTTCATTGATGTTTAGAAGAGATCTTGTATCCACATGAACATCAATTGCCTTTGACATTTCAGCTGCCCTAAAGAAAAAAAGAATTTTAAAAAATTGGACCTCAATTTTAAAACTAACAAATACAAAACCAATATCTATAATCAATCTAATGATTAGCCTTCTTTAACCTCCTTCCATACACCACTACATTTTATTACAGGCTGTAAAGTAAAGCTTCAATTTAAATTGAAAATAAGGTATGCCTATATTCCCTTGAATTTTTTTATACATTTAGATGAGCAGATTTAGCTGCATATCGTAAACACTGGCGTAGTCTGTCATGCTGTTCCAGGAATCCACTGAAAGTACTGAGTGTAAGCCATTTTTTATTTTGGCACCATTTTTTTTTTTAGTAAAGAATGTTTAAAAAGTTGCATAGATTGCATTTTTAAATACTGATTTGTTAATCATTTTGAGTCTAGTCATTTTGAGGGGTCGGCGTGGTCGAGTCGGTAAAGCTCATGGTTGCTAAACCGAAAAGTCTCGAGTTCGAACCCTCGGGCAGATGAGGCTCGTTAGCTGGGGACAGCCACTCTTCTAGGAGAGACAACTCCAAAAATAAAACATCTGCTGCCTTGTAGTTTGTTCTTGGTTGGACAAAGGCTATGGAAGCAAATCCAAAAAGAAAAGCAGGCTGAAATCGGAGTCAATGGCCTCAATGGCGCATAACCAGTTGACACGTACCGCTTAATTGTGTTGGAGGCGTGGTCGAGTCGGCAAAAAAGCTCATGGTTGATAAATTCGAACAAAGTCTCGTGTTCAAACCCACTGGCAGATAAATCTCGATCCCCTTCAACACTAATAATTAAGAACGAAGAAGAAGAATAAGAGTCTAGGCCTACAGCTAATTATTTTAAAGTGTATATTATTATTATTGCTGCTACTAAACATTGTTCTGTCTTTTTGACGACTTTAGTAGATCTCCTAATCGTTTATTTAACTAGGCCTAGACCAGTAGATCTAGTTGTCATAAATCTTCTGCAAGTTTTTATTTCTATTTAAAAGAAACCTACCTGACTTTATTATTAGAGCCTTTTAGATTTATAATAATTTCTATCTAGGCCTATAGGGCCAAATTGTTGCTAATTTTCTGTCAATTAAACTTAACACATTAGGCCTAACTAAGTTAAAACATTAAATGATTAATTCAATACTATCGACTATTTATATTTCAACGGTCAAATAAACTATGATATGATTTTTTACACTTTAAAGTAAAGTAGGCGTAACAAATCTTTAAGAAACTCAACAAACATTTACCCGAATTTACCGGACTATTTCCTATGCTAGCGCTAGACTAAATAGTAAATAGACTAGGCTAGGCCTATTATATAATATAATACTAGGCCTAGGCCTATAGATAGGCCCTATAAATTAAATACTATAAATTAAAATATTATATTAATATAATCATAATTTATACAGTGAGATTACCTCGCTTAAGGCTAGTCTCATATAATCATGACATATAATGTTAGATAGGCCTCTAATATAAAATCTAGAGTCTAGATCTATTCTAGTACTAGAGCCTAGCTAGACGATTGACATTTGTCATGTTATTTGTCAAATAATATTTGAAATTCTGAAGAGAAAACAAGGTAATTAAAAAGTCTAGTGACAATTTTAGCGCAATTTCCTTATGTTATCTAAAAATAGCTCTGTCGTAGCGTAAATCAAGAGCAGGGTTAGTAAAACCATTGGTTAAAATACATGTTTTATTTACAATAGAGTTACATGACTAAAAACCATTGCGCGCCTAGCTACTGAACGTGATGACGCAGCCATTGAACGTGATGGCGCAGCAATTGAACGTGATGACGCGTGTGGTGTGGTTGGATAAAAATGCCTACTAATTCGGTCCAAATTTTAATTAATTTTGTCTTTTTTTTGTGACCGAACGAAAGGATATTTTTGAAAACTATCTTCGGCAATATTGTTCTAAATTATGGCAGGAATCGATTGGTATATGTTTCAAGTCGCTAAGGGGTCTGGTTGCCGAGATATGGGCCAAAAACTGCATTTTTTCAAGTTTTTTTGGCTTTTCCGGGAAATCCATGAAAGAAACCCGGAATTTTTTTGGCCTATGTTCATCCTCGTAACTTGCTTAACATAATTGCTTTTGGAACTAGTCCTCGATATTGCTTCGTTGAGGAGGAGATACGACTTAAAGCTGCGGACACACATCCATTCATTCATACATTCATACATCCAGAAATGACGGGTTAATAAAGTAAACGCTTTCCAGAATGGAAATTGCGCTAAAAATGTTTCACATTCATTGATTTTTTTATTTTTTTCATTGAGTTTATTTTAGCTTACAAGTTACTTGTGAAAAGTAGCCATATCCTACACTACACTGTTTAGCCGTCGACTAAGAAAAACAAATCCATTATATTTACCATTTTGAGGCATGAATAAGTCTTCGTTCATAGCACTCTCTCTGTGCTACTATTAAGTCTGTTTTTATTTGTTTCAAATCGAACGATGGTATATCCGCCATTTTGGAATTAGCGCACTGAAAAAGGATCTGTTATTGTAATTTTTTCAAAGTTTTAAGTTGGTTTTAAGAACTTACTAAGTATTTTAAAATTTTAAGCTTTTATTTTGGGTAAATATTTATTATATAATATACTTAGTACATGTATAAATAACTTACCTTTATTGTGTAAAATGAAGTAAAATATTGATTGTTATAATTACAAAAATTAGCTGATCCTCATACAGGAAGCGGTAGTTGGCAAGCGTAATTTAGCGTTCTCGGCAACAGCGATTTTTCTTACCTTTTTTGAGATAGAAACTTAATCTACATGTTTTTGTTATTATTTGTTATTAATTATTAAGTTCTACTTTTGTCTTACAAATATATAACACTGGGTAGCTTTTGTAGGATCTGCGAGTAGGGATTCAAGCAAACATAGAAGTAGATTACTATTCAGGGGAAATGTTTCGTAAAGAAAAACCGATTACTTTGAAAGCATCGGCATCTTCTCTTTGTAATAATCTTGCTCTTCACTTAATGCCAGAGAAGCGACAAATAGGATACGCCGTTGTTCACAAATCTATGGTTAACATAGCTTGTGCAACACCTGACGGAAGTGTAGTTACAGGTCGACAGGTTATATGCAAAGAACCATCGGTAACACAAGGTCTACCCTTTGTTTTGCAAGTAAGTCTAAGTCACCAAGTTGAGTTGAATTAATCGTAATCTTTTAAAATAGAGCCAGTGTTTACTGTTTAGTTAGTTAGGCGTCTGTTTAATAAGGCAAAAATGTTTATTTAACATAATTTAGTTAGAAAAAAAGATGCAACCGGGCTACCCTACTACTAGCTAGGCCTATCGATATGCCATGACTAAGAGTAGTAGTATTGATTGACTTAGCCACATGTCATATAAATTAAGTTGAAATAGCTGAGTACTGTAACTCTCTCTGTTGCTCTACTTGCTTTCAAAGAAGAACCAAATAATGTGCCTTGCTTAGTACACTAGCCTGACACATTTTAAAATATTTTAGGAAAGCCAAAGATGTATAAATAACCTAGAGCGAAATTTAAATAGACTCGTTAAATTATTGCTCATAATTGACAGTGACATCATCAGGTATGTTTGACTTAAGACTCAAACTACCATTTACCCACCTGAATGAACTCAGAATAATGCTACCACTCAGGACATTTTCATCATGATTAAAACTCAAATACTTAAAGCTTATGATTTATGTTGTATGCAAATTGCCCATACCTCTCCACTCCCAAAGTCAATAATTCATGTACATTTAATCTTAACAATTGGTACTGGATTTTTTCAGGCAAAGTGGGTCACACTTCCTTCACGTTCTGTCTTAGTTTTAACTTCATCAAGAGGTATACAGGTAATATTATTGGCATTAGGTAGATCTAATATATTTTAAAATATACATGATGGTATAGCAACTCAGTATTTTTTTGTTACCTTTTTATACACATAGGGCCAAACTTAAACCATTGCATCTCATTTATGAAGAAAAAGTACTACACATTTAATCTCCTTGCTCTTTTCCCTACCTTACAAATGAGTCTAAATTATTTTAGAAAATTATAATTTTAAGAATTCAAGAACATTTTAAAAATAAAATCGGTGCTGCTCATGATAACTGTATTACATTAATTTATTTTCACAAAAAAAATTAGTTAATCTTGCTCTCTGTTTACATGACATCACACACCTAGCAAGCAGGCGAGAGGGGTGGGGTCAAAACTTTTGTTAGAATTAATATGCCCAACTCATAGAAATAAGCGAGCTCTGCTTCATGGACAACCATTTTTTTACCATCTGTAGATGACTCATATTTTATACTTTATTGAACAGGTATTTGAATCTGATGGATCAGCAATGGTTTATTGGCACTCATTAAGTGATTCTCCAGGTAAATTTTATTAAGTGATATTACTATTACTAGAGGTAACATAAGCTTCAGATAATTTTACTTTTTTCCTGATTTTGAACTAATTGTGATGAAACAGGTTTTAAGCATTTTTTTAAATTTTACCATATTTTTGGCCAAAAAATGATCATATAACCCTACTATTAACAAAAAGATATGATTGTGATTTTTTATAAACACATATTCTATGGCACTGTTGGTGTGATATTTAAACAATGTTTTTAAATTTTACATTTGCTTTCGGTATTTACTAATTAATAGTTAATAATCTTTATAAAAATCAATGCAATCAGACATTTAACTTTTGTTAACCTAATTTTTAGATGTAGGGCATTGTGCTAAAGGTATTGCAGGAGTTGGAGAAAATTTTCTGTGTATAGGTAAGTAACTTTATTTTTTCATTTTCTCCATTCTATGATCCTTCAGAGCCTTGAAAACTACCAACATCTTCTCATCTTTACTTGAGTACTTCTTTTTTTTATTGTTGTTTTCTTTGGTATAATTTTATGTGACCCTCTCAGAATAACTCTGTACAACTGATGTTATGTGCAGCTGCATTAAAAATGTGACATATAGTAAAATCTATATCTAAAGTGTTGTGTTAATCTGTTTCAAAAAACATACAAACTATATTTTTAAAACCTGACTTGTAATAAGGCAGATTAAGTTAAAATTTGTTTATTTTGTGGATAACATAATGTAATTCATAGACAGACTACATAATTTAAAAATATACAGTTTTAAGACTTTAGATGATTTAGCCTATTCATGCTTTACCACTTAACCATAGCATTGGTAGGCTAACTTAAATTGATAAAATGTTTAAAAAGGCTACATTTTATTTTCACTTTCAGGAACTGATGATGGTTCCATATTAGTGTTCAGTTTGCCAGTAAAGGGAACTAATATCAAATTAGAACACACACTTACAGGTAAGAAAATTGTTTTCCGGCATTACACATAATTGTTACAAATTTATAATTAACCATTGGTTTTAAATGTAATTAAATAAATTAAATCCTTTCTTCCTATTTCCTTGAATAGATTATAAGCTTATTTACGCATTCATTTAACAATTTTTAAACTCATCATTTGCTTTTATTGTTACTAAAACATAAATAAAAACTTTTTTCTCATTTCTCTGAATTGAATACATGCTTATATGAATTCTAGAATTTAAAAAAATTCTGAACAGGCCACAAGGCACCAATTTCAGATCTAGCTTCAGAACAAAACACATTGGTCAGTGCTGATGACATGGGCTGCATTATTGTTTGGAAGTTAAATGGAGGAGATTTTGATCAAGTTTCAAACATCAAAGCCAATGGGTAAGTCATAAATAAAATATTTTTTTTAGCTCTAGTATTGAATGGCACAATAGGATGATAGAGTGCAGGACTGCTAATCTAAATGGAGGAGATTTTGATCAAGTTTCAAACATCAAAGCCAATGGGTAACTCATAAATAAAATATTTTTTTAGCTGTAAAACAGTTGGATGAAGTAGTACATAGTGTTGAATGGCACAGTTGGAGGATATAGATGATGACTGCTAACCCAATAGTCTTAAGTTTGGACTCAGGACTTGAATCTGTAGGACATTTCTGAGTCCACACTGTTGTAATAGTTACCTAACTCATACTAGGGAAAAATTAAGGCAGCTGGGCATAGTACTGACAACACTATACTTTTTCTGAAGTCATTGAAATAGATAAACTCTATTTTATCTGTCAGGTGTAATGGGTTTTGATGGGAAAAGATGCTGATATCTCTTTGTAGCATTATTTCTTGTTACTTTCATTCAATTTCTGTATTATTTTTTTTGTTTCATGCAGCTGGCCATGCAACAGTGTGGCCATCTGGAAGGGTGTCATCGTTGCAGGTTTTGCGTCTGGCCACCTGCGAGTGTACAACGCCACAACAGGTTGTCTGGGAGCTGAAGTCACAGCACACGCCCGCACCATCAATGCTGTGGATATCTCTACGGACACTGGCATGGTAACACATACATGAAAGTTGTGGCATATTCTTGCATAAAGTTTCCTGGTTTTTGAGTAGAAGTAGAGCATAGATGGTCAGGACAACTTTAAATCACTATTACTTACATCTATGTAAATAAGTTCTGGTTTTACCAGGATTTGAACCCATTATCATTGGACTAATGATACCATGATCTACTAAACAGCCACACCATTCCATAACATTTTGATCTTTGATACTGTTATAGCTAGTTCACATATTGCAATGATTGAGCTGTTATAGACTTAGTAAGTGTAACTTATAGCCTGTTTAAGTACTTTAGAAATTTTCTTTTTTGGACAGTCACTGTAAATCATGTATCTCTTTCCTATTGATTTAAAAAAATGAAATATGATCAGTTATTTTGTTATGTTAAAAAAAATTATTTTGTCATTCTTTTGAATTTATGGGGCAGCGGTCAAATGATAGAGGACATGAATGCCATCGGAAAGTCTAGAGTTAGCCATGCTCATGCCTGTATAGCATCCATGAGCCAAACCAGATTTAATGGGTACTTTACTCCACCCTGAGAGAGTAAACATGCAGGGGCATAGTGTCAACACTAGGCCCTTAAAGGGCATAGTATTGACACTGTACCTTCAAGGAACCATATACATTCTACTTTACTTCCTTGTTAAAAAAAGAATGAGTGCCTGCAATCCAATAGTTGTTCACATAAATATTATTTTCATTTCACTATACTGCCTTTGCTCAGTACTATCAGATGTGTATTTGCATTGTAGTACTATCAGAGATTATCATTACATTTTCTTCATTAGGTGATCTCTGCCAGTGATGATACATTCTTCAGGATTTGGCAACTCAAACCACTAAATGCCCCTCAGGTATTTAGCTCTTCCTATTTTTACTTTCTCAAATACAAAGTACAGAAGAAGTACTTTAATCATGTAAAAAATTGAAATTGAGATTTTTTAATTTCCTGTAAATGCCATGATATTTATCTACAATGAATTTCATGCATGTTGCTATATTGTCATAGTAACCAGGGTCCACCCATGTTTTGTTCAGATTGAGTTCAGACACAGCGAGTGTGTGCCTGATTTACAGCTTGTGGGAGCCAAGTTCATCGACGAGAAAGGGGGAGCACTATGTGTCACTGGTTACGACAGCTCAGACATTCTTTTTTTTGTCCGCACTTAATTAACATCCAAGGAGGTGTTGAGTAGTTGTCTGCAGTCTGGATGGTTTAGGAAGGTCTCAAGTCCAGCAATTATTGGAAGGGTAAAAATGTTTAAGTGAACACATACTTGTTTCAAGGTACCTGTTTAATTTGGTTCATGCTCACCATTCCTAAACATTTTAATTCCGTCCATTTTAATTGTATTGTCCATTTTTATTTTTATTCACATTCATGTAAGAATAAAAACATAATGTATTTATCAACAATGTTCCCTCTAAGGGAAAAAAGTTAGTGTGCAACGGTGTATTTTGTGTGCGCTGTGTTCAAAAGGTCTTATACAAGGATATATTTATTTTACAAAATCACTGCGCTGTAGCTCGAAACTACTGCGCGGCCGCTCACCCGCGCAACTTACAGGGAACACTGTTTATCAACTGTGATTCTACTCATACATAATTTATTGTTGCTCTGATAATTCAAGCATTATTTCAAAGATTTTAATATTTTATTGAATAGAATGTTTACTTAATACTCTAAACATTTTATTTTTAACATATATCATCTTATAAACTAGATCTGATTGTTTATCATTCTACAAGTATTTTATTAATTATTCTAATTTATAAACTTCTTGGTCTAACACAATGAAAAATTACAGCTTTATAATCTGCAAGTGTAATAAAGAAAACAAAATGGGCACAAATTTCTATTCTCATTTCTGTAATTAATAATTTACTAAGGTACTCTATTGTTTGATGTGATACAATACATTTTTTAACAAGCAAAATTTCAACTCACATTTTTGTAAAATTAAAGACAACTATTTTTATCTACTCAAACAAAATATATTTTTGCTTCAGTTTTTGAAGCATTATTTAAGAAATTGTCAGTCAATTTTTGGTTAAAAGTGTGTTTTTATAAAAAAATCCTTTTTTAATTTTAATTTTTCTGATAGACTAGACCTGATTGTTTCTTTTTTGTTCAGTTGAAAAAAATTCACTTCCTCGAAACGATTCTCATTTTACAATGTAATTTATTTTTATTTTGGTGGGGCACAATAGTCATTGGTAAATACTGCTCTTTTAGTGAAAAAATACAGCTATAAAACTGCCAGTATTAAAAAAGACATTTTTCACACATATTTGACTAATTTCTGTTATTAATCATTTACATTATGATACTTTATTGTTTGATGTGGATCCATAAATTTAATTTAGCAAACCAAATTTCATCTAACATGTTTTGTAAAAGTAAAAACTACATATCTTCCCTGGATTCCACTCAAACATCATCAATTTTTTTCTGTTTTTGGGAGTCCTATTTCTAAGATCTTAAGTAAACTTTTTCTGCAGTGTTGTTTTTTAAATAATCAAAACAATTATTTTTTTTTAATTTATATATTCTCAAACACTAGATCTGATTTTTTCCTTTCTGTACAGTTGAAACAAATTCAATTCCTCAAAACAATTATCATATTACCAGTTGTTTGTTTATTATTTTGATTTATTTACTTCTTGGTCTGCAACAATAGTCATATTGTTCTTTTAATGAACAAATACTGCCACAAAAACCACCATTATAAATAAGCAACAAAATGTGCACAAATCTCTATTCTAATGTAATTTTTTAAATTAATATTTTACTTATGATACTCTACTGTTTGATTTGATTTCATAAATTTTTCTAGCAAACATAATTGTTAACATGGTTCTTTACCTAAAAGATGTTGCCAGCATTTGGCCTAGGAGTTTAAGAAAACATATCAGGTACTTGGTGCTTTGAATACAGGTGCTTTGACCATGATCAAACCCCCTTGGGTCAAAGCCCAGCTGTGGCCAAAGCCCCGCTGTGGTCAAACACCTCAGGCCAAACCCCCTATGGTCAAAGCACCTGTGGTCAAAGCACCAGTGGTCAAAGGTCTGTGTACCAATTATTTTTCAGACTAGGCAGTCCATAGGATATAAGCTATAAAGCTCAGTTGACCTCTCTTTAAAGTCTATTAAAATGGACTATATTATCAACACATTGCCCTGCCTAACACAACCCACACATTTTAATATCTTCACTTAGCTGCTCATCTTGTTTACAGTACAGTATCTGTTTATATATTTTAAATTTTTTTTTTACATCACCTTCCATTTTCTATTTTTAATTTTATTTTATGCATGCTAAACTATAGTTACTAATAGTAAACTTATTTACTAAAATAATGTTACTCATCTACTAGGCAATGTTTTTATCTGGTAACTCTATGATATAATGCTAAAGATGTATAACATATTTCTTGTAGAGATAGTGATCAAAATTAAGCATTTACATTTTTCTTATTCCACATTGATGACATTGAATAGTGTAGTGTTGTGATGGAGGTGTGTAAATCAATGGTGATGTTTTAGATAATTCTGTGCTTCCTATTTTGTTCAACTTTTATTTTACAAATTATTATGTGAAATGGGCAGTAGTCACAGCTGCTAAAAGCTAAGAGTTCTGGTGTAGTTACAAGATATGTCATTAGTTAGCATCCTTGAGCAGGGAAACAAGTTGGTTTCCATCTGTTATTATTTTATTGCAGAAATAATGTGTGTATCTTAATGTATTTAGTTATACTATTCCCATCTATATTAAAATTTAATTTCCGTTTTTTAAGTATTGTTTAAAAAAATATTTGTTGCTCTATAGAATATGTATTTAATATTTTAAGAATCTACCCTGTTTCATTGAAACTATTGAGTGCTGGATCTGATTATTTAAGTAATAAAAAAAAAACATTTGTTTATAAATTAGATATCTATTTTTAGTTTGGTTAGCATCCTAAGTAAGGAAATTAATCATATTTTCATGACATTTTTGTTACTAGCTTGTGACTTTTTATGAATAAATGGTCACATACATTTTTTCAAGGTGATTTTAAAAAGTTGACAAAAAGTAGAATTATGAAATTTTAAATATTCAATTATTTCTTAAATGATATTGAATTAATATATATTCTTATACATGATTGTACCATTATTCATCATTTGTGAAAAGTATTGTACTGATGTTAACTTCAGTAGGTGTTGTAATGAAATATACAGACATCTGATCAAACCATTAAAATAAATATTATTTTCATTTAGTTTATTCAATCGAACACCAACACTATATTTATTTAAAGCTGTTCATTCTGAAATTTTTATTCATGAATTTCATCATAAATCCAACCATTCTTCTTCTCAAGCAATACCTACTCACAGAATCCTTCTCAACTATCTTAACCCAGTTCATTTTTTACAAGCATTCCTTATGTCCTCATATCTACAAATTATCCTTGTTAATATTGTTAATTAATAATTTGTTTCAAATTTTATTATACTTTGTAACCAGTTGTTTGTGGAGGTTTGTAGTTGTGTTGTTCAACTAGACACACTCTAGTCTAGGCCTATGTTGAGTGTCCAGATTTATTTTTCAGTTTACTTTGTAATCAAGAAATGTTGGAATGTTAATAGTCTAGTAATAATAGTTTAAGAAATAAGATGGTTTGGGGATTAATTCTTAACAAAAGTTGGATTGAAAAGCATTTTTAGGCACTGTCTGTTGTATGTTTTAACCAGCATTGCTTCATTGATCAATATAATACAACAAGCAGTATTTTAAAATTTGCATTTTTGAGCGAATGCAGTTAAATTGGTAATAAGCTCTTTGTTGTTTTTTTTTTGGTTTGTTTTCGCTCATTTATTTTTTACTTACTCAGAGTAAAGATAACTCTGCTTTTACCAAACTGGAAGAATATAAAATTGCAGTAGTTTCCCTTGTATTGTACTTCGCCAATCATTTAACTAGGGAGTAACTAAACTGTCCAAATAGAGGTTTTTTTTTAATTTTAAAACGTTTTTCTTAACTCAGCTTCGCGTTTGTTTGTTTGGATGTTTGTTGTTAAAATTGACATCGAAAATTAGCCCACTTCTGATTGCTCTACAGACCTGAAATTTGGCATGCATGCTACTTTCGCCTAACAATTTCAGATGCAATCATAAAAACTAGCAATTAGTGACCGTAATTAGCTTAATTTAATTACGCCCCAAGGACCATAAAATTGAGGACATGATTTCTAAAGATACCGACAAGACTTGAAGCCTATTGACACAGTTACTTCGGCCCCAATCGATGTGAGCGCGCTGGCCGTGATCGTATAGTGGTTAGTACTTCGCGTTGTGGCCGCGACAACCCAGGTTCGAATCCTGGTCGCTCAAGATTTTTAGTCCGTGTATTTATAAACACTTTTTTAAAAACCACGTTTTTCATGTGTAGCAACGGACTAAAAAGGAGAAAATAAAATACTTAAAAAAACTTTTTAAAAAACCACGTTTTTCTTGTGGACTAAAAAAGTAGAAAATAACTATTTACATACATTTGATGACAAAAAACGTGGGTCGGGCAGATGGGTCGGGAAATTTGATGGTGAACGTACCCACGTTTTTTGTCATCAAATGTATGTAAATAGTTATTTTCTACTTTTTAGTCCACAAGAAAAACGTGGTTTTTTAAAAAGTTTTTTTAAGTATTTTATTTAAATACATACACGGGACTTGCAAGATTATACTTTTTAAGTTTATAAAAGTAAACTAATATTTATGATTATTAATGGTTATTTTAATGCTAAATTTAATTAGATACAAATCTAGTGACTTTGTAGCTATTTAGGTGTTGACATCTCACTGCAGACAGACGTCGTGGTCCAATGACATGCTGATACATCACTGTGTCGTCTATCAAACTCATTGATTACCACGCCATAAGTCATAGACATGTCACCTTTCACACTAGACCCACCCCTCTATTGCTGTCATCAGTTCATTTTTTTAAAAAGTTTTCCCAATCTCATTACTTTCCCCAACATTAACCACCCTCTCCCCCATTGCTAAAATTATTTTCCATCCAACCCCCTTCACTGATCCATCTTCGCCCATACCTATCCCCTCCTGCACAATAAATAACATGTTGTCTAGCTATTCCTCTCCCCTTTTTCCCTCAGTTAACAAAC